CAATTGACACAGACCATTGTGTAAGTTTAAGATATAAACATAATGATTTGATACATATATGTTTATATTGCAAAATGATCACTACAATAAGTTACTTAACATACCACCTTGCATGGTTGCATCTTTTTTTCTTTGTGATGAGAACTTTTAAGATCTACCCTCTTAGCAGCTTCCAAATATGCAATAAAGTATTAACTACAGTCACCATGCTGTGCATTACATCCCCAGCCCGTATTAAACTTATTACTGGAAGTTTGTACATTTTAACCCTCTTCCCCAACCCCCTCTTTCTACAAGTTCTTAAAGGGCAGCAGTGATGATATCTTGGTCCTACCTCTCGTCCTGTATGAACACAGTGGAGGCTGCCAGTCAGCTCGTTTTCTGAACGAAGGAAGGAAGTCTATCTTTCCTCTACCCAGGAGGACGTATCCATGGGCCCTGCCAGTTAGCATGATGTGGGAAGATTTGGGGGCGGGGGGCCTACAGCATTTAGGGAGCTCTGACTTTCTCCGGTTACATTTCGGCTACCTCCGTATATAAAGATGAACTAAAATGAGGAGTGCTTTTCTTCATCTGATTCCATTTTGCAGATTAAGCGCCTACCTAGACTCAGAAAGGACAGGGGCCCACTGTGATCTCAGAGGCCTTAGGCCTCCTAATGCCCTGTCCAGGTGCCTCTTTTTGTTCCCCAAACCACAGCTTCTCCAACAGCCCTCAGCTAGCTCAAGGCCCAAATGAGCCAATGGGAGACCTTGGGCTTCAGCCTTTGTTTCTTTTGGGAGCCCTACCTTTGAACTTCAGTTGCATACCTAGCTTGTCTGTCTCTTTCCCCAGGGTCTTGCTCCAACCTGCATCAGCCCCCTAAAACCACGATGCTGCCACAGTCCTCCCTGTGCCCCAGTTAGGAGCCATCTCTGCAATGTGTAGATCTGCTTTTCTTCACTCAGCCACACTGGACTGGGATGCTGGTCCCAGTTGGAACACCGCTGTGTGCCCCTTTGCAAACCAGGATATGAGCCGCTACCCTCCCCCTGTCCTCCTGTGCATGAGTATGGGTTCTCTAAGACCTTCTGCTTGTTCTTCTTCACGAATAAGCAAAGCTCAGAATCCACTTCCCCTCCCCCAGGACAACAGAAGAGAAATGGAGCCACCCCAGCAAATTCACAAACACGTGTGTTTTCCTGAGCACCAAGCAGTCTATTCCTGGGCGTAATATTTATCCTGTGAACCTACCATGTAACGTTAGTTCACTGAGTTTCTCCTCCTACGCTGCCGAGACCTGCATGGCCTTCTCCCACTGCACATCCCCAGGGGCACAGTGCCCTGAGCGTTACAGGATCTCAACAAAGTGCTGCAGAGGGGATGAAGCCCACCGACAGCATGAGATGGATATCTCCACCTGAATCACTAAAAAGCCAACAGACCCTATTTTTTTTTTATGACTAGTTCTGAAGAATCAAATCAAAGGACTTACATTGCTTCCAAGCTCAGCGCTGTGACCAAATGACACAGACCTTGATCTTGTAGTGCAATTACGGAAACTGCCCCAACCCCCATGGAACAGAAGCAAACCCTCTTCTCATTCGATGACCTGCTATATTTTGGGATTGGTGATTGCATACTGCTACAGGCCCGCATGAAGCATACAAATGGAAGAAAGAAGGTGATGACTCACTGCAGAGACGCAGGAGCACCCAAATCAGTGTCTCTCGACAGGTGGTGAATGACGCAGCTCCAGTGTGGATGCATCATGGGAGGTCTTGGAGAAAATGAATGGCCCCCACTTCTCTGGATGCCTCCGACCACAAGGTAGCACGGGGTCAAACCACACTCCCCGAGACGCTTAAGTGCCTGTGCTTCATCCCCAACAGCTGCTCCCTGGCGTGTCTGATCTTTCTCCGCTGTCTATAAAGGGACAATTTTGTACTGGGGACTCTCCTACATTTATGCCACCTTCAGTAGTATCCTGCGGGGGGGGGGGGGCTGTTGTGGTCACAGGACAGACAACAGCTGTTTGGAGCTCTGCAGCTCCAGAGACCTGGAGGGCGTGTTAAAGGCTGGTGGGAAAAGAAGACCACAGGGGCCTCTCCGCCCACCTCCTGGCCCCTCACTACTCCCCTGCTCACCCCCACTTACACATTCATTCCCATCTACCCATACTGCAGAAAGCCTCCCACATACATGGCTTCCCCGCATCCTGACCTTTTCTGCCACAGGTCTCACCGTGGTTGGTGACTAGATAGTCACTTGTGCAATCACACAGGCTCTCACACACAGTTGTGCAAACTACACAATGCAAAAGCGGGTGGGTGAGCGCTGGAACCCAGGCTTGCTGCAGTGTCCCATGTCCCTGTTGCACCTCAGCAGCTGTGCAGTATATATGGGCTGAGTGAGCACTTCAAGCCGGCCAGGGCTCCAGGCTCTGAGGGCGGCCACAGTAAATCCTGACCCCAGGCTGACCAGTTCACTCAGCTGCCTGGTGCCTGAGATGTAAATCCTATTGAAGCAGGGCTCAGTGGGGGGACCAAAGTATACACAAAGGATTAAAACTCACCACAATCAATGCTGTTAAAGCCCTTGGCAAAGCACACACGAGAGAAAGGCAATGAAGGGCCTGGGACAATTTCACTCAGGGGGCATTTACCAGGCAAACAGAGGGCATGTGCAGCATCTCGTAAGACGGCCGGGCTTGACAGAGCAGGTGGCTCACACAGGGCACTGAGCAGAAGCAAGGCCATGGGGGGAGGGATGAGGTTGTAAAGGCTTCTGAGTCCTTGGCTAAGGAGTGTGGACTTGCAGGGAGCAAAGTGAGCTGGCAGAGAACCTTAAAGCTGAAGAATAACATGACCTACGTGCTTTTTAATTTTTTTATAAAGAACTTTCTGGTGGCACTGTGGTAGACAAAGAGCTAGAAGATATCAGTGACTGGGAAACTTTCAGCAGCCATTGCTCAGGGGTAAGAGTCTGAAATAAGACCTGGTAGGATCTGATAACCTACTTACTGGGTGTGGTTGATAAGGGGGCTGAGGACCCCAGGCAGGGTGCACCGAGATGCAGAATGAGGAAAGATGGCACACACAGAGCGTTCTCATTTGGAAAGACTGACACACCACAGACATTCAAGGGGAGTATGTGTCAGGCAGCTGGGGGCTCCACCTGCTCACCGCATTCCCCCTGACAGGAAAGGGACGGCAGACCTGACACTTGGCCAGCACCGTGGACAAAGGACATGTGGCATCTTGCATCTGTGGCCACGTGGGACATGGACTGCTCTTCCCTGCGCTACAGATTGACATAGTGATCACAGATAGAAGAAGAGGAAATCTGTAAGTGTTTGGCCCATTTCTCTGATTTACTGTTTCGTTCTTGGAAAAGAAAAAAAAAAAATCAAAGGACTGACTCAAATTAATCCAGATGAAATCTAATTTTGCGCCCTCCCCAATTTTAACTGAAAATTTGCACCTCACCCTATGCTAGAGAGCACATTTAAAGCTATTCAGATATTTCCAAATATGAAAGAATAAAGTCCATTTACACGTGAAAAGTCATACTATCCTGATTGAAAGTTTAAGTACAGCAACCTCTGAACTGTTACGGAAAATCCATATTCAGATCTTTTAGTAACATTTAGAAAAATAATAAAGATTATTCTTTAAAAAAAAACCGGGGAGTATCTGGTGTAAAAGAAGTAATCAACAGATGTCCATCTCCACTCCCTTTGCATCTTGAGAACAGCATGTCCTCCATGCGAACAGGAGAGAGAAAACTTTTTACACTAAATTCCCCTAATTTTTTTTTTTAAAAAAACACTTTTTTGAGTTATGCCTGACATACAAAAAGCTGAATGTATTTAATGTATACAATGCGGTGAATTTGGAGATAAATATATATTGTGAACTCATCAGCACAATATATGCCATAAATCTATTCATTACCTCCAAATTTATTATTATGATAAGAACACTTAATATAAGATCTACCCTCTTCACAAAATTTTAAGTTAACAGTGCTGTTAACTATAAACCCTACACTGTATAGCACATCTCTAGGATGTAAAAACCATGGCAGGAACTGCTCCCAGAATTCTTGTCTACTTGTCGTGTGCAATCAATAGAGAGAACCCCTGCCCCCCACTCCCCAGGGGGCAACTGTGACAGAGAGCAGGAGAGCAGGGTGCACGGGAGTGATGCCTGCCACCTGGCCTCAGCACACAGTGGCCGAAAGACAGGACCTCGAATGAGCAATGCCTAACCACCCCTCTAACCCTTCCTCCTCAGGAGGTTCCCTCAAAGGGAAGGAAAACATCTCACATATAATGTCAAAAATAGGGAACCAGCCTATGTCCCAAGGGAAGCTTGAATTCACCCACCACAGTCCCTTAGAGTTTTTAGATAGTTAAAGCAATTTTGTAAGAATTAAGAAACCACTAATTTTTTTTGACTCTGTGGCATCACTTTGGGTAATGTTCCCTAACTAGGCCAAATGTAACTTGTACAGAAACGTCTCTAGCAGCACTGTTTATAAGTATTCAGAATACTAGTAAATTGCATAAATACTTGTTGAATGAATGAAAAAACAAAACAAAGGATCAGCAATGGCAGAATATCTGAGCAAATCACCATTTAAAGTGGCATAATTAATACTTAGTCCAGATGCATTATAAGTTAACAGGGACACTACTGTTTGTACATAGGAATTTATACATGGAATGATTTTTAAGGAAAAAGAGCAAACGATATGCATATATGAACTGCATAAATATGCATAAAAGGCACACCACTGTTTAGGTAAGAATATGAGGTAACAGAAATACAATCCAATAGATGCTGCATTTTTCATTAGCACAAATGCACGGTAAGGTTGATCCTCAGAACGTAAATGAATAAACACAGCCTGAATTTTTTTCTTCTAGCAGACGTGGTAGCAGGGACCTTTTCAAATGCTTGCAGGGGACACAAACACTGCAGAGAGGAGAGACAAGGACAGAGGGACAGGCTGACCTGGCGCGGGGTTCGGGGGCTGCCTGGTGTAGGACACGTTGAACGCAGGCTCCTCGATCAGCGGCGGGGGGTACATGCGCCTCCGGATAAAGAAGCCAGCTCCGCAGCAGAAGAGCACGCCCATCATCAGGAGGAACCTGAGCAAGAGCACAGTGGTGAGGTGGTGCTCGGGGCAGACAGTGGCTTGGCCCAGGCTCAAAGGCCCTAGGACTCGGGGATCCGCGAACAGGGACTCGCGATGCAGGGGTCACAGGGGCTCAGCACCTGGCTCCTCAGGCTGGCCTTCCCTTGACATTTCTACCAGGACATTCTTGGGTGGATGACACCTGGGAGACTTCTGGGACACCCCTGAACAGAGCTCACTTAGCTTCTCAGTGTGAGTGAGTTCTGTTCAGGGGTGTCCCAGAAGTCTCAAATGCTCCAAATGGTTAGCTGCCTTCAAAGGGTTGGTGCAATCACTTCCTGTCCATGGCCCTGACCTCAATTCAAAAACTTTAGTCAAAACGGGAGATGCCTTCTCAATCTCGTTGGATGCAAGCCGTGGCTGATCCAGCTTTGCCTCACTGTCCATGTCCCCCACTTCCCATTCTTCACCGGGAAAGCAACAAGGATAAGCACTTTTATCCCTCCTAGCAGTTTTCTCTCCATTATTACATGAATATTGACAAAGAGATTTTAAATGGTGGCCTTCCTAGAGCATACCTTAATTATAGAAAAACTACAGGACTAGACAGTCAATAAAAAAGCTGCAGATGTGAAATCTCTAAGTATGGCTGACATTCTTCTATCGTGACCTTAAAGTCTAACAAACAGTAGAGCTGACTGCTTTAATGACAGAATCTTTGTCCAACTCATCTAAGACTTCTCAGAGACTGTCACGTTGCTGGCATTCAATAAATGACTGACAAATGAATAAATGGCTTCTTCCCACCTCACATTTGCGCTGTACCTTGTCTTTCTAGAAACAAGGGAAGTCATTCTGAGAAGAGCCAAGCTGTCTGTCCTGCACACACATAGCTGGGAAACTCTGACATTACTATGGGACTCATGGAATCTTCCAGAACCTCACCCAAGATACCCACACTATGTGGGCAGCTTATTGCCTTGTGAAAGATGAACATGCGGCAGAGACGCTGCATCATGGTTAAAGGCATCTGACCACACATAAATGAAATTTAGGAAAAAAGCAGACAATAAATATTTTAAGAATATTAATATGATGCTAAGTGTAAGTCCATCAGTCAGTCAATAAGTATTTACTGGACAACCTCGGAACACGGAGTAGGAAGAAAGATCAGAGGCACAAGACAGGAAATGATTCAGGAAAGGGCTGAAATTGTGGCTTTCTGACCTGTCTTCTAATTCATTATTCATTCAACAATTTTTAAGCAGCTGCTCTGCTCCCAGCACCATGTTGTGCATTTTATGAGTAAGGTGAGTCCCTCCCCACCAGTTAAACCTGAGTTCTGGTAGAGGAGGGAAACAGCAAACCACAAAGTTACAAAATCAGTGATTTACAACTCTGGTAAGTGCTATGAAAGAAAAACGAAGGTGCAATCATAGGGTGTGTGTGTGTGTGTGTGTGTGTGTGTGTTATATAACGTAAAATTGACCGTCTCCACCATTTTTAAGCATACAAGTCAGTGCAACAAGAGGTTTTAAACAAGGGTATGTGTTATAGTGAGGCAATCGGAAAAACTTCTTTCCCTTCAACATCCCCCGAGCTGAGTTCTAAAGGATGGAAAGAAAGAAGCAAGCTGGAGAGGAGGAAAGGCACGTTCTGGGGGGAAAGAACAGCACCTGAGCCCCAGCAGGGAGCTGGGTGAGCAAGAGACCCCAGGGGATGGCTGTGGGCTGCAGTCTTGGGGAGCTAAGAAATCCCCACTGTGCAGGGGCCTGCCATCTCAGCACCGGGTTGCTGGAATCACAAAGGGAACTGTTTCAGCTCTTAAAACTAATTTCCCTCAGGGGGACTCAATTCTCTTACATTCAACAGTGGGTCCAACTGTAAGTATCTGAGCAGGAATATAAAGCAGAGAGAGGCTAACTGTATATAAGGGTTTACCTTTTCAAATAACACTACCACTCACTCCCAAGAGACTCACCCCCTGGCTCCCTGGATTGGAAAATGCAGAAGCCATCTGAGATATGGGTCTGTTCCAGGAGATAAGCTGAAATGCGGATTACACTATCAAATGGAATTCTTCTTCTCCTAGCCAAATAACAACGATATTGCACCTCAGACTTTAGACTGATGGCAAATAAGTACAAGGCAGGGACAGAACAAAGTCACACGGCAGGAGACCAACAGCCAATATCAATCATCATCAGATTCATTCCTCATTGAAATATGAGTCTGAAAGAACTTATTTTAAGAGAGAAACTGGTAAGGGACAGGGAAATGAGTTTATAGGAACAAGGAAAGAGAGAAAGCAGGACCTCAGTTAGGGAAAAGCAGTGGTAGAGTCAGAAAGGCAGTTCTTTGAAGTACCAGAGATTGATTGCTGAGCGGGTTTGGGGAGCTTTCCAGGGATTAAGAGAGGAACTTTCTGCCTTTTCTATCATCAAAAGTAAGCTGGTTTGTTCAATTTGTTTTTTCCAATCTCTTTCTGTCCTCCCCCTAGCACGTGGTTCTCTCCCTGAACTACTATGCAGACCCAGGTGCGTCCAGATGTCCCGAGTGGGAACCCCCCGCAGCAGGGCTCACGCACGGTGCCAACCCTGCCAGGTTTTACTTTCTAGGATGCTTCCCAGCTCTAGCAAGGGTGCTACCGGTCTAGTTTTTCTAATCCCAATGATTTCATTCAGACTGTGTTGGTTAAAGATTACTCAAGATTTTAGAACTGGCAGGGACTTTTGAAAGTATTTTCCTCCAAAACCTTTGTTCTATGGTAAGGAGACAGACTTCCTCAAAAACAAGGTGGGGCCCAGGTTGGAGGCAGCCCTTCCTTCCCTCCACGGTTCGCATCCCCTGTCCCTCTCCCCCAAACACCTGCCCCCCACATGAATTTCCTGCCACTCTCTCACCACATTGGCTCTTCTTATGTCTCTGTCCCATCAATGTGCTGGTCCCTTTGCACAGAACACCCTCTCTGAGACCCAGTCAGAAGCTTTGCAAGCTTTCCTCAACTTCCCTGGCATCAGAGGCCCCATCTTGTGTTTCCAGAACACTGGTTTAAAACTCTCCACATCCTGGGGCGCCTGGGTGGCTCAGTCGGTTAAGCGTCTGCCTTCAGCTCAGGTTGTGATCTTGGTCCTAGGACAGAGCCCCACATCGGGCTCCCTGCTCAGCAGGGAGTCTGCTTCTCCCTCTCCCTCTGCTCCTCCCCTCTGCTCATGCTCTCTCTCTCAAATAAATAAATAAAAAATCTTTAAAAAGAAATAAAACTTTCCACATATAATTACCTACTTAGACATCTGTCTCTTTTAGGAGACTGACTACTGTAAGTGCCTCTCCATGGGGCCCTGGTGCATACAGACACTTAATGTTTACCAAGAGAAGGAATGCATTGAGCAGAAAGAACCCAGGCATCCTTTGACTTCAGCTGGGGCACCTCAAAATTATACCTCAAGGTGTTCTCTGGCTATATCCCCACTTTAGAACCTCTTGTCAGAATATCAACACTAAGAGCTTGGCCACATCTTCTGGCATCTGGCACCCCTCATCTGATGGCACTTACAAGATGTCTCTGTGTAGGGATCCCACTAACTCACTGCATGCCATCTTACTAATGTGCCCCAACTCTGACAAGTGACTCTGGCCAGGAGCTCAATGGTTCAGGTAAAGCTTCCTGGGAAAGCCAACAGAAGATGCTCTGGCTTCTAGGCCCTCACGTTTTTCCTGGACTCTCAATTTTTTTTTCAAGAGAGAGAACAAGCAAGCGAGCGTGGGGGCGGGGGGGAGAGGGAGACAGAGGGAGAGAGAGAGAAAGAAAGAAAAAATCCTAAGCAGGCTCCACATCCAGCACGGAGCCCAAGGCAGGGCTCAATCTCATGACCCTGAGATCATGACCTGAGCTGAAATTGAGAGTCAGATGCTTAACTGAATGACACTCCCTGGTGCCCCTTGGACTCTCCATTTTTTAAAAAAAATCACATAATACCTAAACTTTGACAAGTTTTTTTCAGTTTTAGGTTAGGTTTTCTGCTGCTTCAGGCAACCTGGCATAACTTCCTAACTACTTCAGGATTCTTGCCCCAGATGGTCCTGTCTCCTTCTACTACACAAGGCCCCACGGAGGAAAATTCTGAGGGCAAGTATGCATGAAGCTAGGCAAAGCTCTGAAAGGTCCCCCCTCCCCCCGCTCCTCCTGTCCCCTGCTTTGGTACTAGTCCACTCCACCTTAAAGTGCACCCAGAGATGTTCACATTTAGAAAATCTTAGGCTAAAAAAAATTTACCTTCTATTACAGAGTTTTAGGCACCAACATGGCACTTGGTTCAGTAGGGCTTGCCAGAAGCAGTGACATCAAGACAAGGGATGTCCAAACCAGCTGTTTGGGAGGCCAGGCCAGGGCCAGATGTGACAGGTGAGCTGAGCCCCCAAGTGGCTGATGCCCCAACACGGAGGTGGGGACAGTGACGGGAAAGCAACCTTTCCTATCAAAGACAACGTGACATGTGGAATCCCCACGTACTGGTGTTTTCCCTGATGAAATGCTCTTTTGGTTTCATGCAAAACCTCTCCCGCCCATGCCCTGCCATCCCTGAGATCTGAAGCAGTATCTCTCATCTACAGAGTCAAGTACATTTTCAGACATACCCCCAAACGGGCATCCCCTGAGGAGAGCAACACGCGGGGGGTTCCCGTTAATGGAAACTGCACCCCTGTCCTTCTAGGATGCTCTGTCAGCGATACTCCCTCACTCCCTCTCAAGGTAGAATTTTATAGACTTCAGACAGCTCCTGATCTCCCTCAGCAGAGCTGGAAGATCATCAGCAGGCTGTCTGTCCTGAAAGGTAGGATTCGGCTGACACAGCGTGAATGGGAACGGCCTTCAGGCAGCAGAAACGTTGTACCAAGATTCGCTAACTCTGAGTCCTTCAGACAGTCATCCTCAGTCCCATCCCAGCAACTGGCGAAGCAGCTGCTGAAGGGACAACACTGTCATCCCGCCCACCTTCCAAAAGATTAACTCCTCTTTCCCGGCCGCAGCCTGTGAAAATGGGAACGAGCTTTCTGCAAACCCTGTGAGCAGAAGTGCTTGTCACGAAGCCAAGCTGAACATACCTGTTTTCCTGACCGAGGCTGTCCCTGAGACCGAGAGCTCAGGTGAAGGTGATGTGATAATACGGAGTGTGGCGGAGCCCCTGTGGTGGGGGGGGGGGGGGGGGTATGGGTGACGGGTGGGAGAGCAAAGCATTCGAGACCAGGAAGAGTTGTGACCTACCAAAAATACCACAGCCTCTGTATGGAGAGGGCCCGCACGCAGCACCTGGAACCACAGCAGTCCTCGTAGGGGCGGCATCTGCGGGAGAGAGGGGGCAACACAGGCGGGTCAGTGTCCCGGCTCGGAAGGAATACCGAACCAGTCATGAGGTGCAGGCTGATTTCAGAGCAAAGGACGGGACTGGCACCATCTCATCACAAACTGGCGGAACTGACTGCTGTCAGTTCGGACGCCCAAACAGGAAGTACTCAGATGGACGCAGTGAGCGTCATTCAAAGTGCCAAGTCTCCTATACATCTCCATGTGCTGGATCACAGGGGCTTCCTTCTGGTGAGGCCTGTGACCAAAGACCAGCACGAAACCCATCAGCTCTGCAGCTGGAAGGAAGCTCAACCACAGACCCGCGTCCACACGCCCTAGATCCTGCTCAGTGCCCGATCCCTGATGAGGGTCACGAGACAGCCCTACGGCACTGGCAAGTCCAGTGAGGTTAAAAGCAGAGGTTACGAAGTCAGACGACATAGGAGGGGTAGTCCTGGGCTCGCCACTTAATGGCTGTGGGGCTTCTGACAAGTTACTCAACCTCTGTGAGCCTCAGTTTCCCGTAACTGAGTATTTGCAGTCCCAGTAAAGTGGGTGGGAGGGCCTGGCCTCCTTATAGTGCTGCTTTAAGTTTTAAGGCCATCATCCTTATACAATCTGCTGATGGGACTGTCCTTGCCTTTGCTGTCCCTGCCCCTCCCCAGTGCCTGAGGCTGGGGGCCCTGCGGGACACAGGCTGTGCTCAGGGGCTGTTCCTCCCCTGGAATTGCTCTGCCCATTCAAGGCCCTCAGGACTCAGTGCGGACTCTAAAGAGTTACGTTAGCTTCCTTTAATACTCCACCCCCCAACCTTTTTTTGGAAAAGAGAGACTACCATGAAAGCTGAAGCCCCTGGTTCTGCACGTTGGTATTTATAGAGACACTTTCACTACAGTGACTTGAGTCCAAGCGGTAGTAGGTGGGGAAAGGGAGCAAGGTGGGTTGTTTCTCAATAACACTACGTGATCATATAGTTGTGATCTAGGTTCCTGCCAGTTTTCTTCTCTTAAAAATTTAAGGAGGAAACATTCCATGTGTTTGTAGGAAGAGAGTGCTAAATGTGATTTTTTTTTTTAAAGCGAAAACACAGCTTCCTCTAGCTGAAATAGTTGCCAGTTCAGAAATTTTTTTTTCCTTTTGGAATAAAATAATACTTCAAATAAAAAAAAATAGCTGAGAGAAATACACAGTTTGATCCAGGATCTTGGACACTGAATTTGTAGATAATTCCAGTACAAATTGGCTTATTTTATGAAGAAAAATGTGTAGAAGATAGCTCCCTAGGAAATATAAGTGAAGACCAGTTGAGATGGAGAGTTATGAGTTCAGTGAAACTCAGCAAAGCTGAGCTCCAATGCCATTTCTCCTTGGTTGGCTCCCAGGGTTTGTGTCTGTGTTTTTAAACACCCAGCACCTGACCGCTGCTAAATCCTCTATCATTTCAAGGACAAACTGAGCTGAGAGACTCCCGCTGAACCACCACCACCACCACCACCACCACCACCACCACCACCACCACCACCGCCAGAACCACGCACACACACATTCTCCACATGATACACATGTTTTCACATCCAGTCCTCCCACAGCCCACAAACATGAACTTGTACGTACTAGGAAGAACTCGTTATGATTCCTATGAGATGCTCCCGTAAGTTGGTGACAGAAGGTAATCTGTTTAACTTGCTTTAATCAACCAACAAATAGCAGAGCACCGAAGTGTGTGCTCAAAAATGCTGCCAGTCGAACAAAGAAAAAAAGAGACAAACAAAAACCAGACTCTTAACTACAGAGAATAAACGGGTGGTTGCCAGCGGGGAGCTAGGCAGGGGAACGGGGTAATAGGTGATGGAGATTTCGAGTACACTTATTGTGATGCGTAAGGCGTAGAATTGTTGAATCATTATATTGTACACCTGAGACTAACAGAACACTGTATATGAATTCTACTTGAATTAAACAATTTAAAAAAACACTGCTGGTTCTTACAACCTATGCACCCATCAAAAAGCCATCAAGGTGCTACTAGGAACTTGCTGGATCCTGGGGGGTGGAGCAATGAAAAGCCAGACAGAAGTCCCTGCCATGGAGGAGCTTTCTTTCTAGAAGAGAAAGACAAACAAGAAAAATATGAACTGTGTTGGACGGCAATATGTCCTACTCTGGTGAAAAGGAAAGTAGAAGCTGGAAGGTTGAAAGCGAGGGAGACGGGGTGGTAGGTAATACAAGTTCAAACAGGGCGTTCAGGGATGACTCACTGAGAAGGTGACACCTGAGCAGAGACCACGCAGAAATCCGGCCTGGCAATGACCCGGCCTGGCACGAGGCCCTCAGTGTTGGTGGAGGAGTGCTGGCCCTCCAGTCCTAGCGCTCACACACCATGGCTGCATTGTGGGAAAGAACGGTTAAGCACAGAATGTGAGGGGAAATGAAATGCCCCGTTCAGGGGGCTGGGGGAATCTGGGCCAGGGCTGGACCAGCAAGGACCCACTACCACCCAAACAGCACACTCTGCTCGTGTGATACACAGCACTGTCCGCAGGAACTCCTTGGTGCCCTCCTCCTCAAGAATCTCAATGGTCTTGGGTAACCAGTATATGCGTGCGCGTGTGCATGTGTGCATGTTTGTGCACATCTGTGTGGAAGAAGGGGGCAGTATTCAAGGGAGAAAAAGGACCTCCTGCTTTTAGGGTAGGTGGTGTTCAAACAACTAATGGTAAACAAAGGAGATTAAACTATTTTCTATCACGAATCTGTAAAGAGAAGAATCCTCAGCAATTGTGTCAGATTCATGATAACTGTGATGCTGTGACGGGCAGGATTCAAAGATGGCCCCAATATCCCCACCCCTTAGAGAACATGGCCTGCATGATCCTCTCCCCTTGAGGGTGGAGGATCCCATGAATATGATGGAATGGCCATGCCCACAAGTATGGAATGCTACATGAGGTGGTATGCAATGCTACATGAGGTGGTATGCAATGTAAGACGCTCCTGCTGGCTTTAAGGAGTAGCTGCTGTGTGCTAAGACGGCCATGTGGCTCGGACTGGGGGTGGTCTCCAGGAGCTGGGTGCAAGCCCCAACCGGCCAGCAAGGGAACGGGGACTTCAGCCTGACAACCACAGGAACTGGATTCTGCCAACAACCTGCCTGAACTTGCAGGAGAACCCCAAGCCACAGATGAGGACACAACCCAGCCAACTCCTGATTTCAGCTTCATGAGAACCAGAGCAAAGGACCCCTAGTGGCTGCTGTGCCTAGACTTGTGATCTATAAAAATTATAAGATAATAAATACATATAGTTTCAATCTGCTAACTTTGTAGTAATTTATTATGTAGCAACAGAATACTAATACAAATGAGAACAAAGCTTACAGGTCATGAGAGCACCTCTTACATTCTAGATACCAGGTCAGGTGCTTTACCACTATCTCATTTAACACTCAGAGCATCCACACACAAGGGAAGTATTATTAGCCTCATGTTTGAAAGCAGCTCAGAAAACAGGGCATTTGGGACATCATGCCTCATTTCAGTCCAGGGCACTATCTGCTAAAGCCAAGAACGGACCTGGCCAGCGTTTCAAGAAAGTGTTCGGCACAGACACTGCCTCTTGGGTAATACTGGGTCTGCCGTCACCAAAGCGTAACTTCTTTGTCCCCACTTCTTCCTTGGCCCTGCTTTTACAAGCTGCTATGGACCGATCCATTACAGTGATGGTGTGTGGGGACTATACTTATTAAGAGTGACTCCATAACCGTTTGGCTCATGTGAATGAACCGACTGGAAGAGACAAAGAGAAGCAAGGCAGTGAAGGGTTGCCTAAGAACGAGCAAAAGAGGCTGAGAAGATGTCGAAGGTGAAGGTGAAGTTTAATGTGGTGAGAGCCATTCCCAGAGGGCAACTCAAGCCCTGAGGAAGCAGGAGGGGTATTAAGCAAGACTACAGAAACTGAGACAATGTGAAACAAGCGTTGAATCCTCAGGCAAATGGCAGCGGGTCCCCGGGACAGAGCCTACAGACAGAAATGCGGCAACCATTCTTTAATAATGCCTGTAGGGGTTCTTGCTCTAACTTGGAACTGCATATTGACCACAGAGGCTCCCCAAAATGCCTATACCACCCTACATCAAGAACTCTCTACAACTGGCAGATAACTTAATCATAAAAGATAGAAATAATGCAGTAAGATGTGATATTAGGTAAAAGTATGATGTTCATTTGGAAAGAATTACCAGTGCTACCACAATATTATACATCAGAACAGTGTTTTTCAACTACTGTGACCCACTAGTGGATTGTGAAATCAAGTTGGTAGGTTGTGATATCCATTTTATAAAGGTAAAGATTGATTTAAAAAAATCAGAGGGTGGGCGCCTGGGTGGCTCAGTTGGTTAAGCGACTGCCTTCGGCTCAGGTCATGATCCTGGAGTCCCGGGATCGAGTCCCGCGTCGGGCTCCCTGCTCGGCAGGGAGTCTGCTTCTCCCTCTGACCCTCTTCCCTCTCGTGCTCTCTATCTCTCATTCTCTCTCAAATAAATAAATAAAATCTTTAAAAAAAAAAAAATCAAAGGGTGTCACATATAAGAACTGTTTTGTGAAACTGATCTTTTGCTCACATATACACCCATACAGATAGGTGTGTACTAGGTCGCAACACAAAGGATATTTCTACAAAGCTTCTGCTGTGTAAGCCCCCAATATGGACAAGCTCAAGTTTCTGTTGTGTCTAGATGAGCTTCTTTCGTCCTCCTGGTAGGTTGAGCGCAGCTTTCAGGTCCAACTAGAAGGTTACTTCCTGTTGTCAATGGCGCTGGGCTAAAATAAAGTCTGTTTTTAGGTCCCCCATGACCTCTGCCTGGGTGACACTGGTCAAATGGCTGTTGCATTTTTATTCCTAATTCTGAAAGATGCCTTGCAATGATTAAATTCTAGAAGATGAAACTCTCATGAAGGCCCTCTCAAGTGGGAATGCCCCCTGCTCACCCGCCTACT